TTCAACACTTGCAGCAAGAGAGATGTTAAGGTTTTAGTCACGTTTTAGCAAGAGATCGAGGACTTGCAAAGCTCTGCAACTGTTAGTTGATAAAGACAAAAAATGACGCCACTGGGGTTGTGTGGTTGAGGGAATATATCTGTAGCCTTATCACAATTGCCTTGTTTTCGCCTTTTCATTGGTCTTTTAGATTTCACTTTCCACATCATCAACTGCAGATTTTCTTAGCCTTAAACTGTGTCATTTTATTTAGGGTACAATGGTCTTTTGGCATTTCCGGTACCGGAATGTTGACTCAAGGAGTAAATTGTAACAAATGCATAGTTTGGGGTTTTTTTTTTTTGTAATTCAGGGGGTTAGTTGCAATACCCCAATAGTTCAGGGGGTTTTTGCATTTTACCCTTATGTTTTATATCGAATGTAAAAATGATTGGTAACCAAGTTAGACCTATGACTAAAAACTTCAAGTTTGAACCTTAAAAATGAAAATGGTTTCATGATATATAGCAATAAGTCAACTTGAAGGAAGGCCTCAATGTCTCAAAAATAATTTTTGATTTTTCTTCTAGATTTAGCTTAATTGAATCTGGTTTTCTACATAGTTCTTGAACTTCTCTTTTCGTAGAGTTTTTTTAGAATGAGTTAGTCCCAAATTTTCATAAATGGTTCTTGTACTAGATGAATAATGAGGTAAGAATTTAATCAATATGTATAAGATAAAAGTGGTGGTCTAAATACTAACAAGTTTTGGGGTCTTATCACAAATTTTCTTAAGATTTGGGGTCTAATTATAATTTTAAAAAATAAGGTCCATGTCTTGGTAATTTGTTCTGACACCAGTAACATCTAATATGGGCCTCATAACGCCAACATCACATACTTTTTTTTTCTTTTTTTCTTTTTTTTCATATACTTACGTCTCTTTATATGTGTATATTATATCTTCATACGCGAAGAGTGAGATCATTAATTGTTGACCATGTTCTGTATAAATCTCTTGTTCACTTGTAAACTCTATCATTTTATACACACACACACACACACATGCATGTTTTGTACCTTATGGAGTTTATATTTTCATATATTTTTCAATTATTTATAGTTTTATATAATTAAACAGTTTCAGGCCTAGAATGTCTTAGAGAGTAATAATTGTCACCTCAAAAGAAACAAAATAAGGTTTTTCATTTATGGATGAATGAAAACTATAAACAATTAAAAATTATATGAAAAAAAATTATATAATTTACAAAACATTTATAAATAAATACTATATAAAAATTCTATATATTATAAAATCTAAAAGGGTACCAACAATTTTTAGATTGTAATAATTGTTACCTCAAAAGAAACAAAATATATTAGAAAATCCAAAAGGTACTTAAAATGTACGACAAACTATTCGAAACTATAATTTTATGAATTCTTAAACTATAACTCATTGAAAATAAAAGTATTACAAAATTATTTATTTCTCAATCTTTATCTTTTTTGTATATCTCATTTCTTCATTAAATGAATCATTGTCAAGTGTCAATTCTTTTAATTCTTCCATCGCAAAATAAGTTTTCACGACTTGTTGTTGAGTATTGTCTATCTTTACCAGAAAAAGAAAAGATTTTTCTTTGCAATTTGTCACTTTGTTGCTGAATTCATCCATGTCCTATAAAAAGAACAAATATAATTTAGAGCTATTAAGAAATTTAAGTAAGTATTTTTTTTAAAATTTAATTAAAATTTTATGAATAAGGGTGAAAAATTACCTCAATCTGTAATTGTAGTAAATCATCTAGTGAACAATTTATTAATGTTTGGCAATCATTTAGTGAAAAATTTCGTGTTAGAGTTTTAATAAATATTTTATTTGAATTTTATTAGGTAATAATTTTTAGGTAATTTTTTTATATAAAAACTCTTTTTTTATATTAATAAATAAAATACTGAAACTCTTTGCATATTTAATAATACTCTTGATCTCAGTCAAAAGGGCCGAGAAATGTTAGCCAAAAGGCCGACCCAAAAAAATTTAGTACTTCAGTTGATCTTAGCCAAAAAGCTGAGAAAAGTTAGCCAAAATGCCGAGAAAGTAGTAATACACTTGATCTTAGCCAAAAGGCCAGCCCAAAAAAATTTAGTACTATACTTGATCTTAGCCAAAAGGAGGTGTGATTATAATTTTTTTAGATCTATAGTTTTATAAGAGGCTTCTATGTAATCTTTTTAACTTAAAACCAATATGGGACAAGAAAAATGAATTTTATTAGGTAATTTGTAATTTGAATTAAACTCTTTAAATTAATTTTTGTAAATTTAATTAGGTAATTTGTAATTTGAATTAAACTCTTTAAATAATTTTTAGTTAATTTTTTGTCTCTTTTTTTTATATCAATAAATAAATACTGAAAGACTGAAACTCTTTGCATATTTAATAGTAGTAGCTAAAAGGCCGAGAAAGTAATACTACACTTAATCTTAACCAAAAGGTTAAGAAAGGTTAACCAAAAGGCTGACCCAAAAAAATTTAGTACTACACTTGATCTTAGTCAAAAGCCAAGAAAGGTTAGTCAAAAGGCCGATAAATGTGTGATTATTATTTCTTTAAGTTTATAGTTTTATAAGAGACTACCATGTAATCCTTTGAACTTAAAATCAATGTGGGACAAGAAAAATGAATTTTATTAGGTAATTTGTAATTTGAATTAAACTCTTTAAATTAATTTTTATAAATTTTATTAGGTAATTTGTAATTTGAATTAAACTTTTTAAATAATTTTTAGGTAATTTTTTATCTCTTTTTTTATATTAATAAATAAATACTGAAATATTGAAATACTAAAGACTGAAACTCTTTGCACATTTAATAATAGTATAGATATATAATCTAGTGTGGGAAATGGTTTTGGGTGTTGTCTTTGCTGTTACCATTTACAAAATCTGGTCAAGTAAAAATTCATCTCTCTACAGCGGCACTAAAGATTTTGCTATTTATGCTGTCAGGACTATCATTTGGGATGTGCTTGCCTATCTTGATTTTAGGTTTGAAGATTTGTTACTCATTTTTAGTACTTGATGTTGAGTTTCTCTGATTTATTTCTTTGTTGCATCTACTGAAAATGGGCTTTTTCTAGGCCAGCTTTGTAATAGGGGAATGTCTCCTTGTGAATTGGAATTCTTTTTCTTTTCTTTTTATACAAAACACCATTCAGGAACAAAAAAAAAAAAAAAAGTGTGGGAAATGGTAATGAGGAGTTTGAGACAGAGATATCGTTCGTCCCTTCAATTTTTTCACCTTCATAACAATTTTAAAATTTATTGAAATTTTCAAAACATCTCATATTTCCATTTTTATTTATATATTCAGTTTCTCAAAACTGTCCCAAATCCCGCCCCGTCAAGGTGAGAATTTTTGCCATCCCTACTTGGGTTTTTTTTTTTTTTTTTTTTTTTCTTCATGACTTAAGATATGAAACAAAATGAGGGTTAAGATTTTCTCCTATGCTTGTGTGTGTGTGTATATATATATATACTTAATCTATTTTAATAATATATCATAATATATAAGGGTAACTTAATAAATTTATAATATATTCAAGGCGAATAACTCTGTCCCAAAATTAGGGCTGCAACTTGGGCGGGCTAACCCAGCCCAACCCAAGCCCAACCCTTAATTTTGAAAATTGGGTTTTAAATTTCCAAATCGGGTTCATGTTCGGGTTGGGTTTTGTCAAAACCCAGGCATATTCGGGTTGGACTCGGGCTCAACCCGAACCCAACCCGAAACCCAATTTTTTTTTTTTTTTCTTCCTTTCTCTCTCCTCTCTCTTCTTTCTCTTTCTCTCTCCGCTGCTTGAGAGTTGAGAGATAGCGGCGACTCCACCGGTGCCAGGAAAACCTCCAGAGACGGCGACCTCTGCCGGATAGACGAGAATATCACCAGATCCGTCAACACAAATCTTCCTACTTTCTGCAACTTGTAATTTGTCGACGAAGAGGAAATGAAATTCCTTTTTTCCAAACAGAGAGGGGGTAAGCTTAAGAGTTGAGAGACAGCGGCTGAAGCTTGCGAACGGCGAACCTGAACTGGAACAGCGGGCGATGGAAACTGAAAGATCTGGGTTTTTATTTTTTGAACAATCTGAAATGATATGCCGATCTGGTTTTGATTTTTTGAACAATCTAAAATGATATGCCGTGGGTTTTGAACTTTTGATTCTTACATACAGATAGATAAAACTGAAATATAGGTTTTGAACTTCTGATGATTCTTATAGATTTTGTAATTTACAGTTGGAGAGGGAGAGAGAGAGAGAGGGGGTTCAGCGAGAATGGAGATGGGGCGATAGGGGAGGCTGAAGTGATTTGCCCTAAAAATATTTTGCTTTAATATATAATATTTTATATATATTATATTATATTAATATAATATGATATATATATATATATAATATAATATATTATATATAAATTTCCAAAAAAAAAATAAAAATAAAAAACTCAACCCGTCAACCTGATCCAACCCGCCCGAAAATATTTGATCCGAGTTATGATCATAACTCATGTTAAGTTTAATTCGGGTTGACCCAACCCAACTCACTTCGAATTGAAGCTGAGTTGGGACTGGGCTGAGTTAGGCAAGCCCAGATTGCAGCCCTACCCAAAATTGTCCAAAAACTAGCCTAATTTTTCAAATCAATCCCATCCCGAATTACAGAATTAGTTTTCGAAAATCACCCCCAAACCGGGCGGAGCGGTCATGTCAGGGTGCGAATTTATGCAATCTAGTGGTGGAATTTTCCTATTTTATTTTTTAACTAGAGACAAAATTGAAGAAAGGATCAAAAAAAAAGACACATGTCCTAAAATAAAGAGCACTGTCCTATTCCAAAGTGCTTTCGTGACTTACATTAGTTACAAGTGTCCCTCGCCAAAAATATCTGACAATAGCCCAAGATATTATCATCCTGATGAACATGTCACTCATTTGATGTCATCGACGCGTGTAAAAGCGCTGCTATTTGGCCCCACCGGCACGGCCTTTCTTTCTCTCTCCCCCCTCTCTCTTCTTCTTCTTCCACCAAGACACACCACCCCGAGGGTTTCTCTGCTAAATCTAGCGGTAAATCCTTATTGATTTAAGAAATTCACATTGTCTGAACGGAAAATGGGAGAGAATCTCCGGCCTTGGATGTCGTCGGCACCGCCGGATCTTGGTTGCATAAACGAATTGACTCGGTCCAACTCGGACTCGTTTTCTCTGACTCATGAGAATTTAAAAGATATATGTAACCAGAATGCCTATGGCAGACCGGTAATTCTTTTATTTCTTGTGTTTTTCGTCATATTTTGATTTTTTGTAATTTTTTTTTTATGCATGTTTGTGTAGATATTTTCAGTAGGTATGGACAAAGTTTATTTGGATTTATTGAGATATTGTGTGTGAATTGATTAGGGTTTAGAAAGTAAGGCTATCTCCTCCCATATGAGGATGAAATTGGGATTAATTCATTCAACTGTAAGTTAGGTAACATGGTGCATTATTGTTAAATATTTGGAGAAGAAATAGATTGAAGTGTGGTTAAATTCCGAGTAATAACAATAATTATTATTATTTTGGTAAAAAAGAAATTCCTTATAGGGTAATTGTTATAACATAAGGTAATTTTGAATTTTTGAGATATGATATCTTTATGTTTAGTTTCTATTTTTATTTATTTATTATTTATTATTATTATTATGGATAATTAGAATTCTGAAGAAAAGCAAAATGGTCTGCTCACTAATGGAACCATCTATCTCTATATGCTATGTGAGGTGAAAAAACAAAGTCCTTACATTTTCAATTCTTTATCTCATAGGCTACATGTCTCTCATTCTCAAGTCTCAAAAGACTATTCTAGATTTTTATTCATAGAGTCCTACTCCAAGTCCTTGTTAGACAAGGCTTACAGCTTCTTAGTACCAGAGAGTTTCCGAAAAAGAACTATCTTAATTAAGGTAATACTCTAAAATAGAAGCCTATCAAATCAGGAATTTACACATATAACATATATCAAGCTTGACTAAAATTCAATCAAGTCTGTTATTCTCTTCCATGACTGTTAGTTTGGATGAATAATCATAGCTCCTATCTTGCACGCCAGAACCACCATTTAGAGTTTTTTACCTACGGATCATTCTTACAAGCCTGTTTGACTTTAGGGCCTTTCATCAAATGAGTCAACTCCTCGCTCTTTGGATCGCATGCTGAGCCATCACTATTCTGCAACAAGTTCTAGTGTCACCATTTGCATTGCTCAATTGTCAAACCTTCACCATGATTCGTCAAACTTCAGGCCATGGAACCCATCACGTTTTTGTTATAATTGCAATACATGAGGTGATTGACTCCACCTGTAAGGTGCAACTGAAATCTAATTAGAATTGTTTAGACTCCTAGTGTGTTTGTGGATCTCCTGTGTACTTGTCTAGAGTAATTCATAACTACGACTTTGATGGTGAATTCCCAAGTAAGAATCTTCAGCTCTAATACCATTTCTTGTGCATAAATGGAAGTTACTATCCTTGTTACTTGTGCATAAGTGTAGAGATTTAGTCGCAAATAATAATAATGATCACATAAGAAACACGAGTTGTGTGGTTCAGCACCACCACTCTACACCTACAGATGGGAATAGATTCACTGTAAATATTGTACAGGATTACAAAGTAGAGAATACCATCAATTGGGTCAGGCGCTAATATCTGAATCTTGCTTGGTGCTTAGCGTATGAGGCGGCCAATACTTGATCCCTACTACGGTAGAGTACTTGAGGCTTCCATGCTTGCCAGTGCTCTTCTCAAGCATGGAAGGACAAGCATTCTGTCCTTCCATGCTTGCCAGTAGTGTTCTCATAACTTTACTAACCATCTCTACAGGCTAAAGGAGGTGAAAAGAGTAAACGACTCATACACTCAACTCTCTTTAATGAGACTACACCTATCTCATTCTCACAAGGCTTAAACAATAGCCCGAGTATTTTTTTATTGGCTTATTCCAAGTCCTTGTTGGACAAGGTCCTAAATTTCTTATTATCTAAAAATTTCCGAACAAGAACTTATCGTATCAAAATGCAACTGTAGAATAGAAACCTTGTTAAATTAGGTATTGGAAACATATCACAACAGTCTGCATTGCTGCCAAAAACAAAAATGACCACAACTTGTTGGATTTAGTACTAGAGAAAAAAACATTACTTATATTTGAACGAGGAACCTAGGGAGTAAGATTTGAATCAACTCGCTCTATTTAACTTTTTTAGTTTAATTGATTTTCATATGGGAAAATTTAGGAGGGTCTTGCATAGATGCTTGCATTTTAGTGTTGCCATTGTTGAAGGCACCGGTAGAAAAGAAATCTTCCAAGTTCCAACAAATGTGAGGAAGCACCCTTAACTTTGTTCAGGGTGGTGAATGTTAGTTATCCTAGATGAGCTAGCACATGGTATAATGACTAGGAAACTTGTCTATTTCCTCTTTGGGATCTTATTAGATTTTTTGAAGATGTGACCGAGATATAACTACCTTGTAAGCTTTGCTTAAATGGATATGGTTTAATGAGATCTTAAATGAGAGAAAAAAAAAAAAAAAAAAAAAAAAAAAAAAAAAAAAAAAAAAAATTCAAATTAGATTACTTGTGCTATAGGTTCTAGTGGCTGCAAGCTCAACCTTGGAGATAATTTAATCCGTGAATGTTAGTTATCCTAGATGAGCTAGCACATGGTATAATGACTAGGAAACTTATCTATTTCCTGTTTGGGATCTTATTAGATTTTTTGAAGATGTGACCGAGATATAACTACCTTGTAAGCTTTGTTTAAATGGATATGGTTTAATGAGATCTTAAATGAGAGAAAAAAAAGTTCAAATTAGATTACTTGTGCTGTAGGGTCTAGTGGCTGCGAGCTCATCCTTGGAGATAATTTAATCCGTGAATGTTAGTTATCCTAGATGAGCTAGCACATGGTATAATGACTAGGAAACTTGTCTATTTCCTGTTTGGGATCTTATTAGATTTTTTGAAGATGTGACCGAGATATAACTACCTTGTAAGCTTTGTTTAAATGAATATGGTTTAATGAGATCTTAAATGAGAGAGAAAAAAAAGTTCAAATTAGATTACTTGTGCTATAGGTTCTAGTGGCTGCAAGCTCAACCTTGGAGATAATTTAATCCTTATAGAGTTGAGAATGAGGTAATTGAAATAACACAATACTGTAGGATGTGGATAGTATGGTGTAGGTGAAATTAGTGTCCCCTTCAATCAAGGGAAATTTATTATCTAATTGAATATTAAGTTCTACAGTCTCCTCATCACTATTTTTCTGTTATTTAAAATGAAAAAAATATATATCAAACAAGCATTTAAAATTCTCATGTCTCATAATTGGATCAGCACTTTAAATATTAAAATATGGTCCTGGAAGTTTTGACATTCTTATGTTAATTTTTTTTCCATACCAGGGTCACTGCACAGCATGGACAGATGGGAAGCACAGTTTATATCTTGATTCTTTGGAGGCATCTTTTGTTCACCAGTTGCATCAGTCAAAGGGTTTGCTTGCCTGGTGCTCAGCACAGAACACGTGTGATCCAAATTTGTCCTGTCAATTACCTTCCAACACTTGTAATTCTTCCGACCAGGTGAGCCTTCTAATTCATTTCACAGCTCCAGGGTATTAGTTTCTGCTCTTGCATCTCCTCCAAGCAGCACCACAGTCCTACCCTGAATATTCCTTTTGGCATTAATTTTTTAAATGTTTTCTTGAATCTTTGATTATTATTGTTTTTCCAGTTCATGGTTCGACAAGGTGGCTGTTACCGGAAAATCAAATTTGAAAGGAATCAACCTGCATTGGATTCTCATGTTAATCTGAATGGTTCACAGATGCATAATTTTGGATGCACAGGTAAAAGCCATACCATAGCACCAGCTAATTTGCAAAAACGAAGAAGGCTTTGTGGTGAGGAGACGTCTCTAAGAGGCAAAGGAACTTTCTCCGACAGATTAGTGGCAAGTTTGGAGCAGCTTCCCATATGCCATCAATATCATCTGGATTCAGTTGGCAGTATTACAGGTCAGTTTATGAAAAAAGTTTGTGTGTTCTGAAAGACTATGTTGGTTAATATGAATGGCATGATTTTTCCTCCTTACTTATTCATGCTTTGCATTGGTGTTTCCATTTTCATCTCTGGTTTGTCATGGTACTATCACACATGCAGAGGCACAAACATACGCATTTATTTATCCGGGGATAAGAGGAGGTGATGGAGTTTTTGGATACTTTATATTTACTGGATAGATTGGGAGGACCAAAGGTTGAGACGAGATGGGGAGCTTTGGAAAGAAGAAGGTCTGGCCTTTGACTTTAATTCATATTTAATGGTTTTGACTGGCACTTCTGTGGCCCTCTTTCCTTCATAAGGCATTTGGGCCCTCTTTCCTTCATGGTCAGTACACTATGTGAAAATCATCAGTACGCTATGTGAAAATCAACATGTTTTTTCCTTTAGCAAGGTAAGGGCAAGTCTTTGTGATTGTTGTTTGTGGGTGGATAATCTCATTCTTCTTATTTTCCATAGATTGGTAAGAGAGGTTGTGCTTTGTTGTTGACTTTGTCTAGGGTGACGTATGTGAACCCTAGATCAGTGGCTATACTTCTTGATAGCTGGAGAGGTAGTAGAATTAGTCACAGGAGAAGGAAATATTGATGCCACCTCTCCGTGCTTGATTTGGTGTACTTGGTGGAGAGTTGAAGCAGTGGACGAACCGATCCATTTATTAAAGAATAATTTTTGGGTATATTGTTTAATCATGTCATGGGATAGAGAGGGTCTATGAGGCTTTTCTGGACTGCGTAGAGCATTTGGGATTTTTTTGTTCCTTACTGGGGGGTTGTGTACTATGCATTACACATATATGAGTTCATTTGGTGCTTTTTAGTAATAAAACTTTTACTCCTCAAAAAAACAAAAGGGAGAGAGAGAGAGAGAGAGAGAAAAGGAAGAGGATAGTACAAGTGAAATGACAGAGATAAATGATGTTGAACTGTTCTAAAGGAAATTCAAATTGCATAGGATATTAATCTACTTTTATGCCACTTACACTGCTATTGGTTCAAAGCATTATCTGAATGAGCTTCTTAGTCATGTGTCACTTGTGGTGGTGGCTTGAGGCCAGTAAAGCCGAATTGAGCCGAGTGGTGTTTTACTCAAGTTCACCTCAAATTTATTAACAAGCTCCATATCGAAGCTCAAAGTTTATTGGTGGGAGATCTCAAATGACCTTCTACTTGAGCCTATCTTGATCCGAGCTCAAGCATATACTATTGGAAGAATAAAGTCCCACCTGTAAGTTTTGGCATTTGCTATATTTGTTGTCACAAAACAACTACCCAAGTGCCTGTAGTCTCATATAAAACATACTGATTTATAATATTTTGGTTAATTACCGTACCAAGCTGTAACATTCTGCTCCTTGTGCTACCGAGCGCTGTCGTGTATTTATTTTGGAAAATGTTTTCTTTCAAAGGCTTTTAGTTTCTTAACTGCAATTTGTTAGAAGGTTATTTATATTTTAACGAGAAGTCCATTGATATGATATGACGAGTCAATTTTGTACTTTTCTTGCTTCCTTCTGTCTTTTAGTTTGGCTTAGAAGTTAAATTATCTGTTTGTTTGGAGAACCATATTTGTTTGCTTTTTATTAGCTGATGAAAATTAAGATAATTAGTCTTCTTGTTCGAAGCATTAAATGTTTGGAATTTTCTACGACACCATTGAAAAAAAAAATTCAAGAATTTAGTGCCGTGGGTGGTTTTTGGGATACCATGCTGAAACGTCTTGAGCATAAAATTTTGGTAATTAAAGATTCTATTGTTTTGGTACAAAGTGGAATAAGAAGCATGGACACCCCTAAAAGGTCTTCATAGCAGTGTTGACACGTGTTAGACCTGGATATGCATCAAGACGTCTCAACATATGTCTTGACATGTGAAGAAATGTGTCCTCTATATATGTTATTATTTTTTTAAATCAGACACATGGCTGTGTGCGGCAAGAGGGCTTTCAAAAGAATTTTTTTACAAAATAAGGGGGGGGGGGGGGGGGGGGGGGGGGGGGGGTGTGGGTCAAATAATAGAATGTGAATGTTTTGTGGATTTAGAAAAAGAAGATAAATGGAAGCTGAAACGAAGCAGAGGAAGAATGAACACAAGGGAGAGGTATTCTGACAATCTCCAATGAGTGCTCACAGACCACAACCGTATAAAATGAAAAATCATTTACAGGATCAATTAGTATTTCCAAGGAAAAATGCATTATAATACCTTATTGGAATTACATAAAAGGAACACTGGATTATTTCTTACAGTTAACACATCTAATTGGTGACTACCACATAACTAGAGGGAAAGCATGTCCAGGGGAAAATGATTTCAGGTGATGATGATGTTGCTATATAAGTATCCGTAATCAATTTGCATATTATAGGCAAGGGAGAAGACTAGAATTTTTATTATTGCTGAAACCTTAGGGTCCCAAGCTATGGGTGTGAAGTATGTTAATCTTATTGCTTCAACTCATCTCAATTGATTTTTTTTTTTTTAATATTTATAAAATATTTGAATAATCGGGTTTCCTGCAGAAGTTTCGGATCAGAATTTTGTCGATGAAGACCGAGAAGAGAAGTCGAGCAGTTTGTCTATGGCAAAAAGGTTGAAGACGGCTGCAGCTGATACTTCAAGCAAAGATCAAGTATTGCTCGAGTTGATCTTGTGTCATCCATTTGATTTATGTATTACACGTCAATTCAAGCTGATAAAAGTATTGGAGTCTCACTTATATCCTTTCTCCCTTGTCATTTCAGATTGTGCCTCAGTCAAGGTTCATATAACAACACTCAATTGTCAGTAACGCTTCAGAAAGAGAAGATCAAGCATCAGAAGAGCTTGAGAGCTTTGTCTGTGCAGAACCTGATGTGAAATATTTTTAAAAAGACAGCTGAGATGTTACTTGAAATCTGAAAAATAAAGTATAAATATTGATAAACCAACTGAAGGAGAAAAACTTTGATTTCCTCCTGGTGCCACATTGAGAAGAAACAACCTGCTATATAATTCCAATGAAAGGAGTTGAGGAAGACATCTTTCTGAAGTAGGGTCTAGCTTAATGATGTGTAAATGCTGCCATAGTATATATTTTTTTATCGAAAACCAGTAGGAATGAAAATTCAACATCATTTTTACTATATGTATGTATATTTTACTAGATTCATAGATGAAGAGTTGATGATATTTACTAAGCTGGTTAGCTGTATGGGCAGTTGGGAACTCTCTCTCTCTCTCTCTGTTTTGTCAATTTGGTTTATCATAGATGGGAAGTGTAATTTGTGGATTACTTCTTTATAACTGTGTACTTTGTAGCTGAGAGGTCAGCCATATTTTTTGTTACCTGCCGGCTGCATTGGTTTTATTTTTGTCACTTGTTTTCTAGTTTGAGAGAGAACGACATTCTTGAATTGTTAACATTTCATTTTTGATTCGAAGAGTTCCAAAATTTGACCTTAAGAGCACCATGTTTATTTTTGTTTCTTCTCTTCATAATTTCTTTTTATATTTTAGTCTTCAAATAAATTTCTTCTTATGATTTGGTTGATGGGTATGTGAAACAATTGTAAACAGGGTAAAATGCAGTCCATTCTTAGACCGTTGTCTGCCTGAACCATGCATTGTCCCAACTCCCATAAGGTGCAACATTCTAAAGAAGTGCAAACAGAAATTTTGCTGCACGTAGCGGTCTGCTACCAACTGTCCAGGGCAAAGGAAAATGATAAATTTCATTGTTGTTGTGTTTTTTTTTTTTTTTTTTTTTTAGTGTTACTGTTTTGAGGCAAGAATCCAAGAAGCTAGACTGATTTCAAGTTAACAGTTATGGATCTTGTAACAAAACTAGTTTACGATTGAAAGATCCTAATATGTTTTGTTACTGAAATTAATGGTTAGAAGGATTTAAAAGATTTTGATACTCAACCACTTCAGTCTCATTATGTATTTCTGTGATATAATTACAGGTTTCATTTTTATTTTGTTTAATTTATTTTTTTCCTGATGAAACAAGGGATTCGGCTCTTTCCACTTGCAGGGTCATTATTTTGGGTGTCTTCGTATCAGATTGGTTCTGTTGTTTTGCTTCTGCCGGCATCTGTTCTTGGTATGTGCCATGGTTCTTTGATCCGCCCTATCTTTTGCTGTTTGTCTTCCAGATGTAGGGTGGTGCTGGTTGTTTTTTTTTTTGGCTCCAAGCTGTTATATTTTTTTATTGTTGTGCTATATGAGATATTTTTTTATGTTTTTTATTTTAAAAGTATTGATTTGCTTTACCTTTTTAAACAAAACCTGCATCAATGGACCATTTAGGTATAATGTTTCATTTTTTTACTTTCTATTTTTTTTTTTCACCCTTTTGTGAGGCAAAAATTTTGGAGTTCATTGTCACGTGATATATGACTACCCTGAAATGAGCATTAATCAATGTAATGAACATAATATTCGTACACTAGCAGCAGTAATAATATCTAGTGTAATGGTTGAGCTAATTCTTTGTAATAAGAGAGAGATTTTTTATTTGAAAACCAATAATTATCGAATTCTTTAACACTACACTTTCCTTTTAGATATTTGCTCATTGTATCAATGATAGAGATAATTGGTTACCAAATCTTCAATCAGCCAGAAATAGTAAATAAAAAGGAAAATCCAAGAGATGACTAAAAATTGGATAATGTACACAAAATAGGGCATTATTTCCACAGTTTAAAAGGTTGTATTTATGTTACTTCACATACAAGTGGTGGGAGGAAAATGGATATGGATTAGAAAAACTCTTGAAAATAGCATTTTTCTATATATAATTCCTTCAAATTCATTTTATTAAGAAGGCACGCTAACATAGTGCAAGTTTCATGTTTGATGTTTATCCATAATATCCATTACTTCACATAATCAATGGAGGTGTGTACTTCCCAATGAAAATCTCAATTTTACTTTTAGTTATACCCGTAATCTAGAAACATAGACAACCCCTGAACATCAAGATCAGATAATTGATAATTCTTCCTTTATATTCTTGAGTTTCTTCGTCTTTCTCCCCCTATCTGAGGAAGAAAAGTTGGATAGAAAATAAAAAATATATTTAATGGATACTTTCCCGAACCAAAATGTAGCGGGACTAGGTTCAACTGAAGAAGTTTTACCCAATTTTAGTTGGCCTTTATTTTCAAAAAAAATATTCCAAGAGATGGTATAATTTCATACCTATATTCATAGCCTTGTTATTCTAGTAGGCCTTTTATTTATTATGTTGTTTTTGAATTGCACGCAGTTGCATCACATCTTGGATTAACTTCTCTCAAACAAGTCTCTTGTAATAACTTGTAATTTTATCATAAAACTAGTTCTAAACAAGAAACAAGATTTAAATTAATTGAAAGAATAAATAGTGATAGGAATAACGTATATATACTGTTTGAAATAAAAATTGCGGTAAACAAATGCTAATGGGTTTGTGATGTAGGACAGAAAGTGTTGTCATACCAAACTGATATAGAATTAGAACGAAAGAAGGGATGAGAATGAGAAGATGAGATCAAGCTAGAAGAAGGTTAGACGACACATGAGGAGAGTGAAAAGTTGGATTGAAAGAAATAGGCTAGAGAGTGACTGAGAGATTGAGAATAACAAGAACAAAGAGGGAGAAAGAGATATAGAGAGAGTTTGCAAACTCGCGATAAAAATTCAATAATTAAAAACTGCCTTGTTTAGATACATAGAAGCCTTTATATATGCAAAACATAAACAAACAGTAAAAAACCCTAAGAATAGTAAAGTAATAAAATATGTTTAAAATAATAAAAACAAATTAAAATTAACCCTAATTATATCAAATCCCTAATTTCATCTATCTTTGGCCCTTTTCCAAAAGTAGAGGCGGAACAGCGTGGCACATCCCATAAAAATCATAAAAATCATAGCTTGTTCTCCATCACTGTGGTTCCCTTTGGTGATACACGACGCCAAACCTGCATATAGCCAATTTATATATTACCTTCTTGTTGCATTTACAAAATGCTTGGTGTTTCTGTTTCCAAGACTCCTAATTATTGCACTCTGAAAGAAATTTGTCAAAAACGGAGAATTTTGCTCTATTTTTTTTTCCCCCTGTTGGGTCAATAGTAGAAAAATCCACATCGATGTCTTCATATTTCTGAGGTACGCTTGGGTTATGAGAATTGCTTTCACGGATCAACTAATGTTCTAAGGCTTATACTATTGATGCATTTCGAAAGAGTGTTGGATTTCTCTCGGTGCACATATAAATATGGAAAAGGGGTACCCTTGTTTTTTACTTCGGTTGTAGTAATTGTTGTCCTCCATACTGTTTTGTTTACATGTGACCCTACTCCTTTTAAATCTACTATGGCTGTAACCAATCTTCATCTTTTGGCAATTGTTGGCAGGACATATCTAGATAATGCCCTTTTTCTGGCTGTGCAAGTCTAGCTAATTTGATGCAAGTTTTGTTGTTGATCTGCTACTGGAATTTTGCTACTGCATTTATATGTAGGATTTCTTATATTTGCAACTTAAAGTCAGGGCCACGGTTCCTCTACCAAATACCATAGTCCATGCCTTGTGCTGTCATATATGCTGCTTGATAAATGACACTTTATTTCAGCACATGTATCTTGTTACAGTTATATGAGGGCGAGGCTTGGCGCAACGGTAAGGTTGCTCCATTGTGACTTAGAAGACACGGGTTTGAAACAAGGAAACCTCTCTGCATATAGGAGTTAGATTGCATACATCTAACCCATCTAGACCCCGCAATGATTGAAGCCTCGTGCACTGGGTTTGCCCCATCTTGTTACAGTTATATGCATGCTCCTCATTTGTTACATATTGATTATTTGGAGAATACCTTCACCTTCATGGTTGTACTTGTTCCTCTCCTATGCAGATGAATGGTTGTACTGTTTTTCCCTTTCAGGATTTCTGGCTTTGCACTTCAATTGCTGTGGTTCATGATCTTGGGCTATTCCTTTTCACATTCTCCTACTTACGTAGAGAAGAAAAGGCACTTGGAGTAGAGAGAAAGACCACCTGGTTATAGGAGATTTTGATGTATAGAACAGAATTCAATGGTGAGGAAGACGCTCCCTAGGTAAGCTTCTCCAAAATTGAACTAATTATTATATACAAGTATACTAGCGTCGAGCGAGTGTTGATGAGCCAATATTAGAAGTAGAACATGTAGGAATCCGAAATGGCTGGGGAGAGAAAAGGTTCATTTTTTTTTAGGATACTCCCGGAAATAGATCCAGTGGAGACGGGGTGGGACCTTTAGCTCGGAGCATTAGAGCATGTGGGTACGAACGGGTTTGAATCCCTCCATCTACACTATAAACAGGATATATTCAAACCAATTTTCTAATTAAGAACATTTTCAAATAGAATCATATATATTCTCCCTTGAGATTATGTATTGGCAAAGAAAGTATTGCTATGTTAGGCTGCACCAAATTGGTACTTTGAATTTGGTATTGAAAAAAATTTAATATAAATTTTAAACTAAATTTCCTCCAATCTCAAATTCAATGCATTAATTTGGTATGCTCCCAAATATAAGAGAAGAATGAAAATAAATGCATGTTAGGACAGAGAAAAGAGAAAAATTTATCTGTTGATCCTCATGGAACAATATGGTTGAGTTAAGATTATTATATGAAAAATTAATAAAAGAAAATATTTAAAAATTTATGCTTTGGTTTTTGTGGTTTCGTTTTTGCAGCACCCAAATGAGAAAAAACAAAAGCTTAGGTGGCTTCACTAACCAGAAACATTTCGTATTTTTTGTTTTTAATTTCTAAAAAGGCAAAACAGAAGTAGAAAATGTGTTTAAAAACGTGTTTTTACTGCATCATTACTGAACATCAACAGTGTGTGTAATGTAAATGATATAATATATATATATATATATATATATATATATATATATATATATATATTAGTACGAGGGAAAGGGTGTTGTAAAAGGTGGAACTCAAAATATAATAAGTTTTACAAGGCTAATAATCATTTGTGTGTGCTTGTTCGTGGGTGGGTGTGGGGTTTGATATAGCTAATCACCTGGGATGGTTGGGTGAATAACCAAAGTCTCGCAAGGTGGTTTGAATATGATCCTAAATTCAAATAAGTTAGATTTCTTTCAATTTTGGGAGGAATTGACACTTGCACAGTGTGTACACGGATTGTCATAAAATATTTAGGAATAAAAAAAATATTGAAACTTGAAAAAAAAACTTATTTATTAAATTTCGACAAGTTATTTTACATGTCTTACATGATGAATTCGATCTCAATCTTGATCTAAATTCTCAATCTTGATTTAAATTTTTGTCAAAAGTCGAAAAGTAAAATTAAAAAATAATATTTTATCTAAAAAAATATTTTTCAATACAATATTTTAGCCCACTGAATATGTTTTGGCTCCATTGGTATGAGCCGTG